TAGGGCTCCATACACAGTAATCTTAGATATAGACTATTTTTAGTAAGTAAGCCCTCAACATTTCCCCCCTTCAGAAAACCCAGATCTCCTCAGGAAAAGGAACAACAGTATCAAAAACAGACAATCAGTGAGGTGCTTTAGTTAACTTTCTTAATATCATGTGCTCAAAAAGAGGAAAAGCTTTATAGAATCTGTCTTCCATATGGGCTCTTAATGACCTTCTTGTTTAGGACTCCAAAAATTTCTAAGATCATCCCTGTACCTTAGGGTATTTCAAATGGATGTAGAAGATAAAGGAGATTTGTAACTTTATGTAGCAATCAGAAAAGAAAAAAAATGGGTTATGAAACAGGAGTACATCTATTTGGAGTAGTCAATATGTAGCATTATCTTGTCATAATGGCTTTTCGAAAGGTTTATGTAGCCCACCTTTCCTTAAGTTATCAAAGCAGAGAGATATGGATGGAGCATTATAGCCTGTCCCTGTATTACAAGGTTTATAGCTATGAGTTACACAAGGATCCCTGCATAGCAATCTGAAAAGTGAGGCATTTTTCTTTTCTCTTTTACCTTCCAAACCTGATTTTATTTAAGATATACAGATATTATGTTGGTATCAGGATAGCACTATCTCTTCACCAAGTGTAACCATTAGTAAGAATGAGCAAAATAACAAATCTTAATTTCTAGAGTGGTTAATAATCGATAGATCCCCATGCATACTTCTGCATTTGCTATCACACTGGACAATAGTTTGTGCTAGAACTAAAATGAGTTCCATTAAGTTTAAATTAAAGTCTGTTGATAAGGGCAATGGAGGGGAAGCATTCATTACCTTGGCAATTTTCCAAGCCTTTAAAATGTTTTGGAGGAGAGGAAAAACACATCCTACCTAACCCTGTAGAAAAGATTAAATAATAAGGGAAATATTTAACCAGTTCAGCTAATACAGTATACTCTGGGCTATTCAACAATGATCAACTAGCAGTGATCCTGCTACCTGCAGTTTCCTTTGACTACATCTTAAAAATGATATGACATATGAATGAAAAATGACATCAAGAATAAATGACAAAATCTGAAAAATACCTACAATTAATATATATTGGGTCATTTATTAAGCAATTAAGTTTAAAGAATGGAAGGCAAGTGAAAAGACATATGGACAGAAATAAAAAATCCAATCAACTTGTTTTAGACGTGGATTTCTTTGTGACAGTGGCAGATTTTTATAAGATTGAAATCCATATCTGACCTGAGAATACATCTGTCAAAGACTGCAGATTACTAATAAACTGGGATATTCACTGCAACATTCAAAAATAACACAGTAAATTGCTTTAATGCAAATATGTTCTCAAATAGCAATAGAACATATATTAAAATCCTAATTCTCATTTTATTTAATAGATGGTCAGGGCTGCTATAAGAGCATCACCGAATCATCTTAATAGGTCAGACCAATATCTATCTAATCCAAGATGTTGCTACAACACCAGCAAGCTATATTGTATACTGATCGAAAACAATATTTGTAGTTCAGTTGAATTGTCCTTGGTGTTATCTAGTTTGGTAATGAAACCTCTGCAAGAAGACCACCAAGCTCAGAGAGGACCAGGTCCCCACAGCTATGTACCACTGGATGATGGTACACTTCACTTAAAGCTGGCTACACCCAGATCTGATTGCCAAAAATGTACTGCTCCTGCAAATAAACATTCACTTATTTACCAAGTTGTTTGTCAATTGTACATTAATTTATAAAACACTGAGTTAAGAGTCACTGGTAATGAATCATTATAATTTGGAGAAATACCTCTACTTTTTATTTATTTAGGTGACCCCTGTGTTGTAAATGTATTATTATGAAGGAAAGAAAAGAGATCTCTCTAAAAGAATATGGAAAAGTGGCAGGACTAAAAATAAATAAAGATAAAACTAAAATAATAGTAAAGAACCTCACAGATAAACAAAAAAGGCAAATACTAGAGAAAACAGAGGTACAAATAGTGAAAAAAGTTAAATATTTAGCTATTCATCTTTTGGCTAAATGTTCGTCAATAAAAGAAGATAATTATATAAAATTATTGAAGCAAATAAAGCTAGATTTGGAAAGATGGAAAAATCTCAAATTGTCAATATTAGGAAGAATTGCTACAGTAAAAATGAATGTGTTGCCGAAGATTTTATTTTTATTTCAAACGATCCGATAAAGCTTGAGAGAAAATTCTTTCAAAACTTAAATTCATTGGTTTTGAACTTTATTTGGCAGGGGGAAAAAGCTAGAATTAAGATGAAAACATTACAAGATGCTAAGAAAAATGGAGGTTTTGGGTTGCCGGAATGGACATTGTATTATCAAGCATCTGTGTTAACATGGGTGAAAGAGTAGATAACATTCAGAAATAAAAGGTTATTGTATTTAGAGGGGCATGATTTACAATTGGGGTGGCATGCTTTTTTATGGTATGGGAAAAGCAGAGTTCATAAGTACTTTCAAAATCATTTTATAAGAAATGGCTTATTAACAGTATGGGAAAAAATTAAAACTAAAATATATTCAAAAATTCCCGGGTGGTTATCAATGATAGAGGCATTTATACATCTGAACCTGGTAGACTTTGAAAAAATATGGACATATAAAGATATTTTAGATATTGATGGGAAATTAAAATCTAAACAAGAATTGGAAAATTTAGGAATAAATTTGTCCTGGTGGGCACATTTGCAGATACAAAGTAGATATGAAAAAGATGTAAAAATGTATGGATTTTATAAGGATCAAAATGTATTTGATAAAATTTTGTTAACCTCGGATGAGAAATTAATTAAGAAAATGTATAATTTTTGGGTAATTTTAGATATGGAAAGTGAACAAGTAAAAGAAACAATGATAAGATGGGCAAAAAATTTTGGTTATGATATAGAATTAGAAAAATGGCAAATGTTATGGGAGAGAAACTATACATTAACAATGTCAACTTCATACAAAGAAAATTTGTATAAAATGTTTTATAGATGGCACCTTCCACCAGCAAGATTAGCAAAAATGTTTAAAAATATGTCAGATAGATGTTGGAAATATAAACATAATATAGGCACGTATTATCATATTTGGTGGACATGTGAGAAGACAAAGGCCTATTGGAAAAGCATACATATGTGGTTAGAAAAAATATTCGGTGAACAAGTGGATTTTAAACCTGAACTTTTTTTACTAGGCATTATGCCTGAAAAGATTAATAAGCAGAAATTATATTTAATTCTACATATTACCACAGCAGCAAGAATAATTTTTGCACAGTACTGGAAGAATGAAGGATTGCCATCAGAAGAAGAAATAATCACAAAAATATTGGAATGTGCAGAGATAGACAGACTAACTATGAGGCTGAAAGACAAAGAAGATACGGATTATTATAAAATTTGGAATTTATTTTATTCTTGGTTAGAGAAAAGAATGAAGGATTAGGAAGTGAACATGTATTAGCTTAGCAAACACCAGACAACTTATTTGATTGGAAAAATTAACATATGTTGATGGAAAAAAATAAAATAAAAAAGATTGTTGGAAACAAAGAAAAGAGATCATACTAGAGCAGGCAAAATGCCTGTGAAGAAATCAAGCATTTTTCTGAACCTGGTGCTTGAAGCAGTGAGGCACTGGGTCTTTGGAAGTTTTTGCTTGGGATCTTTCAAGGGTCTTCCCTCATTGTCTCCATATAGATATGCATGTATAGGAGAGAAGTTTTCAGGAATTGGCATGTCAAGCAGTGGATTCATTTGGGCACTTTATTGCCATGAAAAAGTGTACCCTCTGAATGGTAACTTTAAGTTTATGAAACCAAGAATATTAGGATATACAACTACCACTTATCATGCATTTGCAACAGTAATATATAATGATTTTTGTATTACATTTAATTGGTCATCACCTGTTCAATGTACAAGGCAAGGATTATCTAAACTTGTTTTTTTAGTCAGTCCTTTATTAGCCCTTTATTAGAATCAATGTTCAGTATTGCATTTAAAAGAACATAAAAGTTAAGATATAATGAATAAACTAAACCAAAATATTATAGAATTTTTTTGGTAATAATAATAATAAACAGTCATGTCCTTGTCAATACAATTAATGGAAATAAGTTTTAAACAATAATACAAAATTTGGCCACATTCAAGAATGAATGATATTGGTCAGTTAACAACAATTGTACAGAAAATAAATTTATATGTTGGTCTATGGTTGTATTAAAGAACTTATTGGGTGATCTGGAAATTCAGTGAATAAAGGGGTCATAAAATGAACTGTGCATCTTTATAGAATAATCAGTAAAGTAATATATGTATTGCGGTAAGTGTTCCACCATCTCTTCATCACAAGATCAGTCTGAAAAATAGGAGATTTTATTTAAGATAGATAGATAGATAGATAGATAGATAGATAGACAGACAGATAGATAGATAGATGATAGATATAGAGATATAGCTAATGATGATAGACAGAGGACAGATGATAGATAACAAATCGATAGATTGATAGATCGATCAATATTCCTTCAACTACATTCTTCACAGAGCACTAAAGCAAGCTAAGGTTAATTCTAATTTAGTTTTGGGAATAGTTATCTGATTTAGATAACTTGTTGGTCTAAAATGATGAGAACACTACTCAAAAACACAGATGTAAGAAGACCTGAAAAAAAATTAGTTGCATATCTATATTTGACATACATTGTTTTAAATTATCCACCACCTTTTTGTAACCCATTTTCAGTAATATGTCCCATGAGAAGCTATAGCTCTGTAATATTTATGAATTGATCTTCTTTAAATTGATTCAAAATTATCACAAGAATTAAGGGGTTAGCTTTCTCCTCTTGCCTCCTATCATTCATGCAGGTGTGTATATTTTTTATTGTGACCACAATATATACTAGACAGAAAAATGGATGCAGTGAATCTTTCAAGCTCCAGAACAGGAAATTCTTATTTATTACCTGTTGATGTTTGCACAATGTCAGAAGTATTTCTGAGTCCCATGAAGTCAAACTGATACAGTCTCCAAGATTTCTGATCTGCAGCTTCTACTGAGTTTTTTCTCCATCTGTAAACCATTTCCTCTTGTGGATAGCCATCTGTAAATTAAACGTCAGCATCAAATATCTGGTAAATATTTCATAATGTGAATACTGTACACTTTTTAACTGAAAAAATAGATGATGTACTGTATGTAAGGATGCCAGGTTACCACTAAAGGGTAAGAGGATATGAAGCATGCTGAACACTGGAAAGTACTACACAAATGCTGCTGCTGTCCTAAGTAGGCCTAATGGGGGTAAAGGACTACTACTACTATTACTACTACTACTACTTTTTATTTTTATTTCTCTCTCTTCTCTTTCTTCTTCTTCTTCTTCTTCTTCTTCTTCTTCTTCTTCTTCTTCTTCTTCTTCTTCTTCTTCTTCTTCTTCTTCTTCTTCTTCTTCTCCTCCTCCTCCTCCTCCTCCTCCTCCTCCTCCTCCTCTCCTCCCCCTCCCCTTCCCTCTCCTCCTCCTCCTCACATATGTGATTGTAGGCAGCTTACAGCAAAATATCACACTCATATAAATAAAGTTAAGCGATGAAAACTGATTAACCTAAGGCATAAAAAAATGCAGGAGAGTGCCAACTAACAATTCACAAACAGTACAACCACCTTGCAGTCCCCCCATCTCTAAGGAATCCCCAGGCCTACTGGCACAGCCATATTTTCAGGAACTTCCTAAAGGCCAGCAGATTGGGGCCAATATAACCTCAGAGAAGAGGATATTCCAGAAGATGGGTGCCATGGCAGGTCCTGATTCCTGTCAGATGAAACTCTTGGTGGATGGGACCCATAACATAACCCATTTGCCAGATCTGATGGGATGGATAACTATAACTGGAGAGAGATGGTCCCTCAAATAATCCAGTTCCATGTCTTGCAGATCTTTATAAGTCACAACTAGCACTTTAAATTGAGCATGGAAGCAAACTGACAACCAATCAAGTTCACAGAGCAGAGGTTTAACATGTACTAATTTTGGTATGCACATTACTCCTACACTACATTTTGCACCAGCTTTAGTTTCCAGATGTTTTTCAAAGACAGCGCCTGTACAACTCATTACAGGAATCCATCCAGGAGATGACCAAGACATGAATGGCAGAGAATAGTCTCCTGATCCAAGAATGGGTGCAATAGGTGCATAGCTCAAAGCTGCATGTTGAATGATCGTGCCAATGGAGCCGGACTAATATTATCTCTCTTGGAGTTGACACCTAGAAATCTGCTGGTTTGAATCACCTGGAAGAACTGCGGGGTGGGCGCGCTTCTTATGGACATTTTAAAATATCGAATTGTAGTTCTGCTTTCTTAAAATGTGGATTGAAGTGAGTCCTTTCTTTCTGCTAGCATATGCCGGTTGCTTTCGCTCATTTACACTTATCCCCTTTTTTGGTTCTATTCCGGGATCTTCCTTGGCGGGGTTGTGTGCGTGTGTGTTAGCAGAAAGAAAGTGATCGAGACCAAGAAAAAGAAAATAGCAACCTCGGAAGATACAAATACAGTAAGAGACGCGTGCCCTTTAAGAACAAACCAAGTAGAGAAAACGGACGGACCGATAACTAGATCGAGAAACCGGGCGCAGAGCCGTCCAGCAGTATAAAAAGGACTCCCAGTAATCTTGTATTATGCTCTGATGATGTTGGCAGTGTTGGCCAATGAAAGCTTAGCTTTAGCTTTTGTATTAAACAGTTTTTGTTTTAACATTATCCTGGTGCTCGGACTATTTTATTTCTATTATATGGATTTACCCAGGATTCACATTTTTAGTATAATTAGGGAATATATATATATAGCAGTTTAAAAAATGTCAAGGTGTAATCAATTAGACATCTGTCTGAAAAAATTCCTGCATATAGTCCCTTGACTCAGCTGGCAAAGAGGGAGGAGAGCCCGTGGCTTGGTGGTTAAATCACTGCCTAGTATGTAAACTGCCCAGGTTCAAATCCCATAAAGGGTGTGGCTAACTGAAGAGAGCAGAATGAGCTCGAAATGGCCATCTTAGTCTCCCAATTTAATTCTTTAATTCTTTGTCAGAAAAAGAAATTTGTGTATATATATATATATATATATATATATATATATATATATATATATATATATATATATATATAGGTCTGAAGATGACGAATGGGACTTCGTCGAAACGTCGCCAAGACACTTCCAATTTTACACGGGAGAAAACCCGAACAACCAAAGACCTACATAAAAATACCCGCGAAAACCTCAGAAAACATATATATATATATATCTATATATATATATATTATATATATATATATATATATGTAGGTCTTTGGTTGTTCGGGTTTTCTCCCACGTAAAATTGGAAGTGTCTTGGCGACATTTCAATGAAGTCCCATTCGTCATCTTCAGGCTGGTGTTTTCAGCTTCGTGCTTTGAGGAGCAATGTGTGGTCTTAGCTGTTTCTTCCTTTTAATATATATATAAAATTTGGATTGCTAGCAAAGAATTAAGGGAGAACTGGAATAGCTATTTCGAACTCTTTAGTTCTTTTCAACCAGACATACCCTTCTGAGATTCGAACCTGGGCTGTCTGCATGTTAGGCAGCTGTATTAAACCTCTAGGCCACAGGCTCTTTCTCACTTTTGCCAGCTGTGTTAGGGAGGGAAGAAACAGGGGAGCCTGTGGCCTAGAGGTTTAATACAGCTGCCTAACATGCAGACAGCCCAGGTTCGAATCTCAGAGGGGTATGTCTGGTTGAAAAGAACTAAAGAGTTCGAAATAGCTATTCCAGTTCTCCCTTAATTCTTTGCTAGCAATCCAAATTTTATATATATATATAATAAAATATAAAAATGAACACTAGGGTAATAAAAACTAAAGAAGTTTTTAATGGGTTAAAACTATAAAAGTTTTAAAAAGCGCCAAGCTTTCGCCGTCACCTGCCGGCATCCTCAGGGCTGGCGTGCCAGAGAATGAGAAGGTCTTTTTATAGGCGTGCCGAGGTTTGCACTCGGCTCCTTGATCTTGTTATGGGGCCTGATTGGTTCAGCCGTGTGTAGTTGGCCTGCGCTTTTTTTCTCTTCTTAGTTGTATTTTTATCCTCGTCCGTCTCCAGTTCTCCCAACCTCAGATTAGCTGAATGGCAATTCCAGTTATTTCGGTTGCTTTCATGTTCCGATCTCCCCTCAGGCTTGGGTGGTGGTGGACGTTCCAAGTTCCTTTCTCCGCCCCGTTCTGTCCGGTTGCTACTTTTAGAGTCCCATATATTTCCGGTCTCAATGCTTTCGGTTTTAATATGTTTATCATCCTGGTAATCCCGTAAATTGTTACGAGTCTGGTATAGCGTGGGGGGGTATTCCGCATGGTGGAGGGGTCGTCTCTTGTTCGTTGTCATGCCCAGCTGTCTCGCACGTGTCTTACTCCGAGTGCTCAATCCTGGGGGTGTGTGCACAGTCATCGGGGCGCGTCCCTCCTGGTTACCGTGTTCTTCCTTAGTTCTCCCCTTTTTTACCTTGTTGGAAGCGCTCGCGTATGTTCTATGGGAGTCCATAGAATATATATATATTCTGAGGTTTTTGCGGGTATTTGTATGTAGGTCTTTGGTTGTTCGGGTTTTCTCCCACGTAAAATTGGAAGTGTCTTGGCGACGTTTCGACGAAGTCCCATTCGTCATCTTCAGGCTGGTGCTTTCAGCTTCGTGCTTTGAGCAGCAATGTGTGGTCTTAGCTGTTTATTCCTTTTAACTTCCAGTGGAGGTATGAACTGATTGGGCCACAGGACATGAAATTGACTTTAAAAATACCAGAACCATTGCCAAAAGTGAACATTTTAATAACAGAATAATCAGAGAAGCCATCGACATAGAAAAACGCCCACACAGCATGAACAAGCGAGATGATACCTCCCGCCTACCAGCCATTTGGAAACCCGCCCTTATTGACAAACGACTCCCTAACACAAAAAATGATACCAGACCCACACTCACAAAAACCACACAGGATGTCACCACCACACATCCACGCAAAAAACAAACCCAAAGCCACACCGATGACGAGGCACGACCACAAACCAGAAGCCAGACCACAGCTGCATCATTAGCCACTTTAAACCCCTCCAATCCATACATGAAGCAAACTGACACCCTCCATGAAGAGGAGGCACGACCACGAACGCGAAGCCAGAAAATAGCAAGGCAGCCCAAAATCTTAAACCCCTCTGCAACTCAGACTAACCTGAGCACAACCAAACAGAACACTCCCCCAGCCAATCAGAGCACAGCCAAGGCCCTAACCATTCAGAACACACCTCCACCCAATCAGAACACAGCCAAGCTCCCAATCAGTTCATACCCCCACTGGCAGTTAAAAGGAATAAACAGCTAAGACCACACATTGCTGCTCAAAGCACGAAGCTGAAAGCACCAGCCTGAAGATGACGAATGGGACTTCGTTGAAACGTCGCCAAGACACTTCCAATTTTACGTGGGAGAAAACCCGAACAACCAAAGACCTACATATATATATATATATATATATATATATATATATATATATATATATATATATATATTAAAAGATAATCTGTAAGACTGTATTGAATCATCAGTGGATTTAGAATTCAAGAGTAATTAAATGGAAGTACAAAGGTTATGAGCGAAAATATCTATTTGAGGTTTATTTGAGGAATGCAGTATTACAGACTAATTCTGCCCACTGCCAAGAGTTCTATTATGACCAACTCAAGGTTGACTCAGAGTTCCATCCTTCCGAGGTTGGTAAAATGAGGATCCAGTTGTTGGGGGCAATATGCTGACTCTGTAAACCATTTAGCTGTAAAGCACTATGAAACAGTATATAGGTCTAAGTGCTATTGCTATAAGACTGTGATGATGTAAAATGAGAGATCACCATCTTTTAAACAGCATAGACTGCATACACCAAATCAAAAGATCAACACTTCCATAAGATGTATAACAAGTCGTGAGCCTGTATTGACATGGGTTTTTGGATCAAAAGCACTAAAATTATCATTTGAATTCTTAATATAATGTGATGTAATTGTCAGGATCATTAGACAAG